GCCGAGCGCGAAGCCACGGGCGGGCGGGAAAGCCCCTCGCCCGCTGCCGCGAGGCGCACGCCAGGCGGAGCGGGCAGCGGGCAGCGGGCTCCGGGCGGCGCCCCGAGAGCAGGAGCCGGCACCTCGGGCTCTGCCCCCGGCGAGGACGTCCTCCCCTTGAGCCCAGCACGAAGCTTCGCTAACGGCCCGGGGCAGGGCTGTGTCTTTCGGTCTCAGGCTGAAGACACAACAAATATCACTTCAGCGGGACGAGCTAGAAAACGTGAAATGGGAGCTTCATGAGCAGGAGCAGCCTGGCCGGGCTGGCGAGACGTGAAGGCCCGCAGAGGAGCGGTGTGGCGAACCGCCTGCGGGGTGCCAGGGACATGACAATGAGCCATGAAGTCAGTTGACTCCCCTCAGCACTGCCCGCGCAGAAACGCTGCTGCCACTGCCAGGCACTTGGTTTTAAACTTTGGGTGGAGCAGGAATCAAAGCGGGAGCGGGGTGCGAGTGGAGCCACCCCTTTCTGTGTCAGCGGGCTCCTCTAGAGCAGAGGTTCCCAAACTTTTTCCTGTTGCACCCCCCCTTCCACATTTACCGGCTGCCAGATACGTTTTATATTTTAACCCCATAAATGTCAATTATAATTTTAATGAAAATTAAATCTGCCATTGCACAATTTCTCTTGCATACCCCCCAGAGATGTCTTGCGTACCCCCAGGGGTATGTGCACCACCAGTTTGGGAATCCTTGCTCTAGAGCCGCTCACAGAATCTGCACCCCAAAGTGGCCAAGGGAACACGCTTTGAGAGGACCTCAGCTGTGGCTCTGAGCCCAGCAAGCCAAGGGCTGGAGCTGATGCCTAATCTCCATTGGCCGTCTGCACCAAGGCTGAGTTGTTAGGACTGGAAATTGGCCGTCCTGTTGCCTGCAGCCCCTGCTCATTTCATCTGAAAGCTGTAAACAGATGTTGCCCCAGGAGAAACTGTTTTCTTGCAGGGCATTGTGGTTGTATAGATGTTCATTTCTGGTGTCCTGAGGCAAAGCATGAAAATCCATTAGGGATAAGAAGCAGCAACAGTTTCTTCTGAGACACTGCAAAGTACATCTGAACAGTTGTCTTGGAAGATCATCTCAGGATAAGCAGCCCAGATGGTCCCCAGAGCATCCCATAAGACACCACGCCCACCCTAATCCTGGCGCCTTTTGAACTTGAGGTAGCCACTGTAGCCCTGGTGGCAGCACTCGTATGGTTAGGGGCTTACAGGACAAGCCCTTTGAGGAGTGACTGAGGGACCTGGACCTCTTCAGCCTCCGCAAGAGAAGGCTGAGAGGTGATCTTGTAGCTGCCTACAAATTCATTAGGGGGACGCAGAAGGGATTGAAGATGTTCTGTTCACCAGGGCACCTCTTGGGGTAACAAGGAACAATGGTCACAAACTGACAGAGAGCTGATTTAGGCTAGGTATCAGGAAAAACTTCTTCATGGTAAGGGTGGCCAAACTTTAGAATGGGCTTCCAAGGAAGATGATGTTCTCCCCTACCTTGGGGGTCTTTAAGAGAAGGCTGGATAAGCATCTGGATAGGCATCAGATGACCCCAGCACTCTCATCTGGCTGGGGGCATCTGGCCCTTTCCTGCCTAGGCAGGGGGTCGGACTCGATGATCTGTTGATGTCCCTTCCGACCCTAGCATCTATGAATCTGTGAAAACCATGGACACACACATCCACCCATCCTCAGTCCCATCCACTCATGAGGGACATCAGACCAATCATTCACACATTGAGCCAACGTCCATTTTGGATACCCACCTCCATACATCTATCCACCTACAATGATGGTTCCACTATCCTTGCCATCCTTGACATTTGCAAGTGCAGCACCAGTTGGACCTGGGAGAAGGCAGCAGATCTTGCCGTTTGAAGAGAGGTCAAGCAGTAGCAGATACTCCATTCAAGCCACTGAAACTAGTCAGTCTTCAAACAGGTCACTGCAAATGGCAGCATATGGACATGACCTTGATTGGATCCAGTGCTGCTCCAGGTACAAGGTATTGAGGCAGCAGTTCATGAGAACACAGGACATCAACCATGTGCCTGGAACATGCAAGAATACATGGGCTTTCCATGAGGACCTGTCCCACATCCTCACAGTAGATGACACGGTGCAGTTCACCACATGATGAACACATTTACATTGCCTAGATCAGTGATAGACTCCAAATCCACCATGGCTGAAAGCACACGGCCCTCCCAGGTGACTACAGTGATGCCCCAGGAGATGTGTCATGTTGAGGACTTGCAGGTTGTCATGGACAGCAGTACAGACTCCAAGATGGACCTGCCTCACATAGTGAGCATCCCTGAAGCAAAAGAATTGGGCTAACATGCTGAACTTCAGCCATCTTTACTGACAAAATTAAAACTATGCATAATGTGATAATGAGTTGGTTACCTCACCTGCCCCCTACTGGTCAGGGATGGAGATGCCCAGCTATGTTAGAATCTGTCCAGGTGATCCGTGTTTAGACATTTTGCAGTCTATCTCAGATATTGCAGAGGCACCTGTCCTAAAATCTCTGTGTAGTTCCCAGAGGTGAAATGGCATGAGTTTGCACCTAACAGCCAGCATGCCTTGGCCCAAATCATTTTGTGTGCACTGAACTCACACACAAGGGATGCCTTGTGAGTTCACTGAATTGAGCTTTCTGACACCTCGTGGGAGAGTATCACCCAGGACTGCCCCAAATGGACAGAGAGTCTGCTGCAAGGATCTTAGTACTTTGAAACCTTATGACAGGGGTAGGCAAAATGCAGCCCGCGGGCCAGATGTAGCCCACCAGGGCATTCTATCTGGCCCGCAGAGCCCCTAAAAAATCTAGAAAATTAACATTTATATGGCCCTGGCTGCCTGTCATGTAGCCCTCGATGGCTTGCCAAAACTCAGTAAGCAGCCCTCCACCCAAAATAATTGCCTGCCCCTGCCTTACGATGACAACAGGAGACAGAAAAATGCAAGTGGCAGAAACAGCCTGCTGCGAACCAAACGGAGAACCTAGAGCCACCCACCTCATGTGGAAACTGTGGCAGAAATGCCACCGTCTGTGTCCCTCTCCAGAAATCTGTCTCTGCCAGCTTGAGGGGCTGGGGTTGAATTCCTCAGGGAGGGGGATCTTCCTCCCTGCCTACATGACAAAAGCCTGATGCCTCGGATGTGGATTCTCTGGTCACCTGGGGAGGGGGAGAGAAAAGCCCCGCTAACCGGACCAGGTGACCCGTGATGCTTTTTAAATCAGTTGGCTAGTGGCCAGCACTGGCAGGTTCGATTGGACTGGGCTGCTGAGGTCAGAAAGGTTATTAAAAGGCCGGGTCCAGGAAGAAGCCAGCCATTAGACATGCGGTCATCGAGGTGAATCTGAAACTGGGAGAGGAGCTTC